AGATAGCGATCATAACTTAGTAGTTATGAAGACCAATCTTAAATTGAAAATTCTGAAAAAGGGGGAAGGTAGGAGACGTCTCGACTAGAAAAGCTAAAATATAACGAACCGCGTGATAGGCTAGGTAAAAGGACAGACGAAATACTAAAAGCGGCGGGAGAAACGAATGACGGGGACATAGAGACAGAATGGAACTGCATTAAAACGTGCCTAAAGTCAGCAGCTACAGATATACTAGGTCTTAAACTAAACGAAAGTAGGAAACCCTGGATAACAAATGAGATTTTAGGATTATTAGAAGAATGGCGGAAATACAAAAACAGGACAGACGAAGAAGGGCAAAAAAGGTATAAGGTTATAAAGTGGGAAATAATTAGGACGTGTAGGGCAGCTAAGGAACAGTGGATTGATGAGATGTGTAAAGAAGTAGAAGAAAAGTAAAACAGATGAGGCTTATAGTATAATTAAAAGGAATTTTAGAGATGGAGGATACAGTAGTAATATAAGAAACGAGGTAGGGGTCATTTTGATAGATAATGAGGAAAAGGCAGATAGGTGGAAAGAATATTTAGAGAACCTATACGCAGGCAATGAAGTAGGAGATATATTAGAAAAGGAAGATAGTGTATAGATAGATGAGCTAGGTGATCCCATAATAAGAGAAGAGTTCGATGTAGCATTAAAAAATTTAAAGAATGATAAGGCGCCAGGTGTGGATGGGATACAGGGGGAAATTCTAAAACATGCAGGACAAGAGGTTAGAGATCGTAAATTTAAGTTACTTAGTCACATTTACGAGACGGGGAAAGTCCCAGAGGATAATAAACGGAACGTGGTAGTAACATTACCTAAAAAGAGGGGCGCGGATAGGTGCGAGACATTTAGAACAATTAGCTTAACTTCCCATGCGTCAAAAATCTTAACTAGAATTGTACAGAGGAGGACGGAAAAAAGGGCGGAAGAACTATTAGGGGAAGATCAATTTGGGTTTAGAAGAAATGGAGGAACGAGGGAAGCAATTCTAGCTTTACGGGTAACAATAGAGAAAACGATAGAAAAAAGAAAGAAGGCGTTTGCATCCCGAAGGGCAGGATGTTATTATCATTATAAGGTCGTCAGTTCTTCTGTATATCTATTCCTATAGTTGTACTGTCTTTAATGGTGTTATTGTGTCTTTGATGTATAGATTAAAAAGCAGCGATGACAGTGTGCATCCTCGTCTGACTTCCTTCCTAATATTTATTCTCTACATTGTTGCTACATCTCTATAACTGCCTGTTGCTCTTTATACAAACTAAGTGTCACTCTTCTATCTCTGTAACTCATCCCTACATTTTTAAGTATATTTAGCATCTTTAGATAACAGATCTGTACATAACCTGAAGGAACTAATGAGATATAGACCTACATTGGTACATATAAATCCCAAAGTCCTGTAAGTCCAAATGTGACAATTGTAATATATCTCACAAATGAGAAATAAGACGTACAGGTAACGCCTGGACTAGAGGTCTCATTCATCTTGCTCAGAACTACATTGAGCATGCAATCAAATGAAACCACCTATCTGAACCGAGCAAAAGAAGTAACGTATGTAGCTCTTATCCATACTAATATTTAATCAATTTAGACTATTTAATTTAATCAATTAATAGTCTACTCAACCGCATACAACATTGGAAACTATATAGCCAACATAAATATTTAAATATATTCAAAGGACTCGGATAAGTTATTAATAAAAAGTTTAAATAAGATAAGGCCTAAATGAGAGTCCCAGTGCGCCTTAGGTGTTATTGCAAAAAATTCGGACTCAAACTTGATAGATTGCCAACGATTAGTTAAGTAAGATGCCAGCCAGTTCAAAAGATCATATCGTTTACCAAAGTTCTTTAGTTTAGACAACAAAGTGAAATGTCAACACTATCCAAAGCTTTGGCAAAAAATTGTACATTAAGAATGTAGTTATTAAAAATAAGTACATTAGTAACGGTAGAATTTTTACAAGCAATACCTATTACTCATGTTATCTGCCCACTGGAACTCTTGCTCGGCGTTAAAATTATTATAATTTTTTATTTGTAGTTTTGGTTTCTAAGGTCAAAATTGCTATAACATTTTATGTTCCAAATGTCACTCGGAACCTGTGGTTAAAATATTATTGGTTATACACGAAAGTTCTCTATAATAAAGAGTGTAAATTAGCAACTGGTAACGGATTCAACGAATTTTAAGGCTAATAGAAAGAAGATAGACAAAATGGTCAATAAGATCGGAAATTTATTATGCGAATAATTCAAACAAATAGGACTTTTCTGCTTAAATGTAAATCAGACCCCGCAGGTAGTTATACGTACATAAGAAGGGAGTAAGTACCATGGATTTGGGCTGGACGGACATACGGGGCCTGAAAGTTCTAATGGATCTAGAAATGATCGACATGGGTATGTCAGATCACTTATCAATAGTTACCAAAGTTTCAGGAATGCTTAGAAGTCACCAAATAATAAAGAAGTATAGACTAAAAAACAAGAATTGGTATTCACAAGACTGAGTGAAATCAAAGAAAGATACGAGCAGACTCTTCAGAAAATGGGTCAATTCTAGAGGTGATCAATTCTTACGGAACCAATATGTAGAAGCATGAAAGCTATATAAAGAAACAGTAAAGCAAGCAAAACGGGAATATCATACAGATCTTAGAGAGAAGTAACGTTCGACACAGCACCACTTTTGGAAAACAGTTAAAAAAGTTATACCCAAACAGCAAATAAGGGCAGAATTGAGTTTAATACAAATAAAGACCTTTTACAACGAACTTTTCCTTTGAGATTAGTGGATAGTAAAATGTTTATGGACGACTGACACCCTATCTCAACCAAAATATAAATATAGATGAACTAAATATTGTGCTTCGTAGGATTAAAAACAATACAGTCCGGACGGAATTCAAAACATCTTTTATAAGAATTTTTCCACTAACTGGATTTTATTTATGACAAATTTGTTTAATTTGTTTATAGAATACTAGAGAATACTGAAATACCAAATTCTCTTATACAAAAAGGGAGACTTAACCAGTCCTATAAAATATAGAGGGATAATCTTGGCAAATGCGATATTGAAGATCTTCGCTGCTTTACTTAATAATAGATTGTAGAAAATGGGATATTTTGGTAATGTCAAGTGAGATTCAGGCAAGGAAGATGGTTGTGAGTAAAATAAAACACACCTGAAGAAGGCACAGTGTGTCGAAATAATTATAGTGGTTATAATAAATTATTTGTAAACTCCAAGTGTGTTTTATTTTATTTTTAAATATGGAGTTACATTACTTGAAAGCTTCATCGATTCAATGGTTGTGAGTACTACATTTTTACCATCACTACAAAGATCGAAATTGCATTCAAACAAAATTATGGGAACTTGTATGCAGCTTTCATTGACATTCGGGCGCCGATCTTATATCGTGAAGCACTGAAGATCTATTAAGCATGGCGAAAGGTCTGCAATCAGAATTCGACCACTACAGAAAAGCCCAGAAGCTCTTTAGAATAATCTAGTCAACAATTAATTATTTACTTTTGCAGTTCGCGTTCGACTTCTTGTTTGACTTGTAAACCTACATCAATAATTATATTTAAATTATTCATGTTTTGTAGTCAACTCTTTTCACAATTTTCACTTAACTTCTTTACTTGAAAACAACAGTGTAGGTTAGAATACGCGAGAGCAGCGAGCGCAAAAGTTACTGATGAACTTGATTTAGTTCTACAAAAATTAAAAGTTAAAGTAAGGTCACATTTCTATCGAGAGCGTTGAAGTTTGCACTAAAAAACAATAAGCTTGAGTTTCTTTTGTTTTAGTTAAACATTTTACCAATTTACTAGGATTTACATCTTCCGGTAACTACTCATATATTTCCCATCAATCGTCGGTATCCCACTTATATGAAAATTTTAAATTTTATCTTCAGGTAAAGAAGCATCTTTATGGAGTTGTAAAAAATTACATCTATGGACCAAGTCGGATAATTTTTAGATTTATTGATGTAGAAAACTCTTTGCATGTCCTGATCGAGAAATCTGAATTTTGATCAAAAGTATACTTAAAACCATGCGGAATTAATGGGACAATTACCTACTGCCGCTTGCCACTCCTTTTGTCACAGATAGACGTCGTCAATTGGAGAGATACGTTAAATAAGAACATTTCTTCATCGCTGATAGCACGTAGAACTACGTAAATTACACCTCAACTTCTACTAAGAACATAAATGAAATAGAAAAAGAGTAAAATTACAAAAAAAGTCAATTAATACTCCAAAAATTTCGCACCACACATTTAACGAAAGCAGTTTTTGAAATCGCGAAACATGCGAATTCTTTGCCAACAATGATTATTGTACTTTTCTTTCGAAACCACCGATTCACCGAAATTCACTCGCGGCTGAAAATCTGTTTCAAGCAATAAGGCTTGTACTCGCTGCAAATGATAAGAATGTAGCAACGGCTTTTTTTTTGCCACATTGTTATGTGAGAGGAGGCAATGTTCCCTGCTATTTCAGGTGTACTATTTTACGAATTGTCTTCTTTGAAATCGGGGATTTCGTTACTACAGCGGTGAACTTTCGGACATATAAACATTACTTAATTTTCATGTCTTATAGTGCTCTATTGCCTCTTGTAAGCACGGTACTTATTTCTCTTACACCCTTACACAATTTTTACCCTTATAATAATCGACTTGCATTCATTGCTTACCGTTTTATTGTTGAAACACTGTCTCATGTAAATAACTATATTGTCAATACGTGCTGTTATTATTATTTCGCGTAAAATGGTTTTGTTTATCGAACAATTTGGTAAATTTGTTCTTTTAGTACACTCCGTAAATTTTTAGAAGCTAGGAGTAGATGTAAATAAATAATTAATTTTTTTGGTAGTCTTTAAAACTACAAATAGCTCATATCTGACTATATATAACTTTTTTATTTATAGGAAATGAAGTTTCTTCTGTTGGAACAAAAGTATCTTGAATATTTGGAAGACGGAAGAGTGCTTGATGCGCTTCATGTTTTAAGAAATGAATTAACTCCACTTCAACATAATACTTCTCGGGTGCATCAATTATCCAGTTATATGATGTGTTCAAATACAGAGGAATTACGGTCTCGTACAAATTGGTAAGACTATTTAGATATAAATATAATTAAAATCGAGAGTGTAGGTAGGTAAATTTTTGTGAACAAAACGGAAGGCTAATGTACTTACATTTATTATGCTCTCAAATTTTCGCCAACATTCTTGGCTTCATCAGGAGATCAATGTTGTAAATTACTATTGAAAGGCATAGTTAAATTAACTGTAAACTCGTGAGGAGATAATAAATTATATATGTAAAATAACACTTAAAAACCATCATAACAATATCCATACCTTCACCATTTTGTTTTCAATTTTCAACTTAATTATGATGATTTAAGTGTTATTTTACATATCTATATAATTATCTCCTCATGAGTTTACAGTTAATTTAACTATGCCTTTCAAATATTAACTTACAACGTCGATCTCCTGATGAAGTCAAGAGTGTTGGCGTAAATTTGAGATGTTAGTAAATGTAACTACATTTGCCCATCATTTTGTTCATAAGAATTTACCTACCGTCACCCTTAATTTTAATTATTTTTAATTTCAACTAGTACGGCAGTTACTAAGGCTCAACATTACAATTTAGATACTTAAGTAATCAAGTATCAATATGGCGTATTTAAAATTGTTAAAATTAACTAATTGTTAGATTTTTTTTAATTTGTGAAATTTACTTGATTTTTGGCGTTAGACGCCTTTTTACCTAAATATTGTCGTGAAAAATATTATAAATGTCCCTAATGTAGAGTCACTAAACTGAATCAAGGATGAAAATTTTAAAAACTGGTTTTGAAGTAAGTAAATTAACCAATGAATATGAATGTCTTGTTCTAATTTAAACGAGTCCATAATTTGCTAAACTCCCTCTTCTCCTTCCAACGCTACAACTTGTTAAGTTAAACCTTTCTTGCCCCTGATGGACAAACTTTGCTCATGAACGGAACGAAAAAAAAAAGAATATCTATTATATGATTACTTGTTATAAACATTTATATGGTATCAATGTTTTAATTTCTTATACATGTATGTCTTCAGTATGAATTTTACTTAGCCTTTCATTTTAGTATATTTCTTACATTTAGCATTTATATTCATCCCGATATATCTGTATTAATGTGTTAGTTTGCATACAGAGATTTTTTAAATAAGTGCAGAGTTTTGTGGGGTTTCAACTACAGATACAATAGAAATTACTTGGTGAGTACAGCAGCGAGACTAAGGGACAATGTATTTCTTTTAAGAAAACCACAATAATACCCGCGACTTCACTCGCGTTGATGTTCTAAATATGTGTCAAAAATCATCGACGACCGTATAAAAGTAATTTTTCAATTCCCCGGGAACAGTGTATCTTTCTGGATAAAGAGTACTCTGTGTCCTTTTCTGTACCCCTGAAAATGTCTGTACAAAATATGTTCGGTTGAGTAGTTAAGGTGTGAAATGATACCAAACAAACAAACGAAATTCGCATTTATAATATTAGTTAGGATTTCCTATTTTCTAAAAATCCTAACGATTTATAGTGTACTCCAATATTTAGTTTTTCTTTATGTACTTATTAAAACTATTTTGTTAAAACAACCAAAAAGAGCAGACAAGATAAATGCTATATTTATTCAGCAATTACTTTTATTTTTTAATAATCACGATAAATGAATGGATAATTGTAATATAATTCAAAAAGGTACCTCTTTTAGAATTCATAAGTTAGTGCTTAAATCGTATGTTAAAAAAATGCCCCTCTAGTTTTGAGATAAGCAAAATCGATCGTCAATCAGTTGTTCAAAGTCTGTGTCTATGGACATTAGAGGTAAAGTAGTAGACTTTCTTGAAACATTGTACTTTGTTAAATTTTCATTCTTGTAGTTAAAACTTCATTGTTGCTGTTTATATTATTATCAGTAAGCACCTCCATATGTATTAATGAGCAAATGTCCAGCCTCCCGATATAAGTAAGAGTAGTGTCAATTAGGCACCTTATAAAAACGACCTTGTACTAATTGCTAAACAAGTGTAACACAAAATTGTGCAATAAACAGTCCATTACAAAAATAAAAAGCAATTTCTACACCAACGATCTAACATATTTTGTTTTTTAGTAAGTTATTAAAAGTGTAAACTTAATGGGAAATTGGTCCACTTAAATAATTTCCGATTGTTATGTCTCTAACTAAAGATGATCACTAATTGTAGTTCATAGGCTTAGGCTAATTTTAAAAAAAGCCGGGAAGAAAACATCGCATGATCATTAATTAATGAATAAAATATATACAAAACTATATACAAACGATGACCTTAGCTGTAAAAGAATTGGTTGGTACTGTCTCGGTGAGACAGCTTAGTAACTCTATAAAAAGTACTAACTAACTGCTAAAAACTGGTACTCCGACTTTCTTCTTTGCTATGATAACAAAAATTTCTAATGAGGGTAAAATTCTTAAAATCTTTGTCGTTGAGGGTTCAGATGGTCAAATCAGGTAAAAAATGCTATTTTTGCTTAGCTTAAAGAACGTGTTTCTGTTTGCTTCAAAAATGAAACGGGAAAAAAATCGAATATTAAAAAATAAATATGATGTTCAATTTTGCTTACTACTACATTTATGAATTAAATAATAATATATAGAAAAAGGAAAAATACCACCGAACACTTACGTATTTTGACANGGAAAAATACTACTCAAACATACTTGTTGATTCATTTTTTATTTTCAATTCGGAAAAGGAGCGTTCCACACTGCAGTTAGTTACCATCATGGTTAAAGCGATCCTCAATGCAACTTCTACATTTGGGAATGTGTTTTCAATTTAGTTTTCTTTCAAAAGATGATTTTCTGAAATAGGCACTATTAGTTTTTCATTTTCACTATGAACAGTTTTCATTCAATTCAATCGGTCGCGTTTTCATTTAACATAATGGTATATTCGTACATAAATGTTTGAAGAATCACCTGCATTTAGGCATACTCGCGCTTATACAAAAGCTACTATGCAAGTATTTTAGATAATAATTATTGGTTGATTTCCTCAAAATAAATTCATATATCGGTAATAAATATCGGTTTTTGGTTGGTGAATGGATCTAGCAGGAAGTAGTGGACCGATGACAATATGATGTAAAGTTCAGTGTTTTTACGATAAATATTTATATCTAACATCTACAACAGATGTACAGGGTGTATCATAACAACAAAGTATGCCAACTTATAGAAAATAATAAAAGTAAATCCGCAACTGCCGAACAATCAGGTATCTACAAATTAAATAGTTGCTTAATTAAATAATTAAAAAGAAGACTCACCCCTAATTACCACAAAAACGGATGGGTAGTATGGTAATACAATCCACGGAATTAGAGGAGCATTGGGAAAGTTAACATGAAACATTTAACGAATAATCGCCCCACACGGCGGTGATAATTGTAAAGACGCTTGCATTAGGATTATGCGGAGTCGTTCTTTGGATCGTCAGTATGAGTAATCTATATCTAAGGCAGATTTGGAGTAACTTCTGAAGGACCCCACGATATACTTGTACTGGTGGGGGGGGGGGGATTTGTTCGTCACTGTGTGACCAAAGATTTGGATATGGGCCGTGAGATCTGTGCAGTCTTTAGGGAGAAGTGGCCACCTACCAGAGCTGTATTACTTATCTTAAGAGGAAACTTATCCAATGGGACTCTTTGGTGCAACTAAGCTAGCAACTACTGACTATCTTTAAAATGTCAAGGATCGAATGTAGGTTATATGTGCTAGACTAGGTGGTACGAAATATGTTTATATACGAGGGTGGATTGATAAGTTTCCGGCCTGACCAAGAAAAACAAGGTTTTTAAAAATTTTTTTTTTTTATTTCTCAACATAATCTCCTCCAAGGCTGATACATTTCTCATAGCGGTGTTCCAGTCTATTAATGCCATCTCTATAGACTGATTCGTCAAGCTCCTCAAAATAACCATTTACAGCTTCGATTACTTCTTCATTGTCCGCAAATCTCTTACCGCCAAGCCATTTTTTGAGATTAGGGAACAGAAAATAGTCACTCGGGGCTAGGTCTGGAGAGTAAGGAGGGTGCGGCATCAATTCAAACTTTAGATCGTTGATTTTAGCCGTCGCAACGATTGACGTGTGCGCTGGTGCGTTATCGTGATGAAACAAGATTTTTTTCTTCGCCAGATGAGGTCGTTTAATTTTCACCTCGTGGCTCAAACGTTGCAATAAGTCTGCGTAGTATTGACCAGTGATAGTATTACCCTTTGCAAGGTAATCAATGTATATAATACCTCTTGCATCCCAAAAACAGTAGCCATAACCTTGTTCGCCGAAAAAATTGTTTTTGCCTTCTTTGGAGTTGGTTCCCCTGGTCCAATCCACTGTTTAGACTGTTCTTTGGTTTCAGGAGTGTAGTGGTGGACCCACGTTTCGTCAACGGTTACGAATCGACGCAAAAATTCGCTTGGATTACGCTTATACAATGACAAATTTGCGGTAGAAATGTTTTTTCGAATCAATTTTTGGTCGACTGTTAGCAAACGCGGCACCCATCTTGCACAGAGCTTTTCCATATGCAAATGTTGGTGCAAAATATGTTGCACACGTTCATATGACATCTTACAGGTCTCAGCTATCTCACGCACTTTCAATCTGCGGTCTCCCAGCACTATTTGATGAATTTTTTCGATCATATCTGGAGTTGTGACCTCAACGGGGCGTCCTGAGCGAGGCCCATCAGAGGTGCTCACACGACCCTTTTTAAACTCGGAAACCCACTGCTTAACGGTTGAATATGACGGGGAGGATGTCCCCAGTGTTGAGTCCATCTCTTTTTTAATTTCCTTCGGCGTTAACCCCTTCAAATAAAAGTATTTGATGACAGCACGATTTTCCTGCTTTTCCATTTTTACGAAAACCACAGAGGCGTCTTGTTCAGCGTGCTGTCAAACCTACACTAGCAAGGAGATCGGGCTGAAACTATAGCTACAAGCTATCCAAGGATGGTACTATAGAATGTCACCTCAAGGTAGGCCTAGTGGCGTCATCTCTTGGTTAGGCCGGAAACTTATCAATCCACCCTCGTATAATACGTATGGTATGAGTTTCTATTTTGATATACTGGAATGGATATTTTGATCATCTAGCGGCTACTAGTGGCGCAACAAACGAAACGGGAAGTTTCAGGAAATCATCCATCGATTCAAGGCAGCTGATATGCGCGAAAGTGAGGTCGTTGTAGTGATATAATAACCAATTGTAAGTAAATAACTGCATATGGTCAGTTGCTGTATTAAATAAATTTACATATATATATACACACGAATTTAACCATATTTTTACAAATAAATGGACATACAAGAAAACTCGTTACAATGTATTATTTTTATTATTGTATAAAAGGTTTGGATAGAACGGGAAATTTGGCGTGGGAAGTGGAAGCTCGTCACGCTAAAGTTTACTATAAGAAAGCCACCTATGAATATGCTTCACCTGAAGATAATATTGAAAGTGTTTTTTTATCCTATTTTTTTTATTTTAGGGAAGGAAAAGGACCGAATTCTCGAAAGTGTTTAATGGATAGGCTTCAAACGTTTTTACCTGCAAGTGTCATGCTGCCACCAAATAGATTACTTTCCCTTTTACATCAAGCGTTAGAGCTTCAAGCTCTTCGCTGTAAACACCATAATACTTCGTTAGATATAAGACTCAACACTGCCTCTTTGTTAACGGATCATTGCTGTGCTAAAGATTCATTTCCTACCCATACTGTACAAGTAAGTTCTAATTTAAAATTTTTGCCTTATAGTAGTAACTTAAACTTTTAATATTTTGAATACAAAGTCTAGACAAAATTACAAAGGGTTATTTTCACATTGCGATTTGATTTAGGTTTTAATAATGACATTTATTATATAGTGTTTTTTAAAAAAATGTTGCGGTTATTATTCTATTTAGTTTAGGACTTATTTTAGATTCTAAACGACCATTGTGACGAAGTTTGGTTTTGTCAATTTTCACCGGATGGCACTAAACTTGCTACATGTTCTAAAGATACCAACGTGATTATATGGAATGTATATCCAGAGACGTGCACCATTTCCTTGAAAAAAACATTGGAGGGCCATTCATATGGTATGTTTAAAAATATATAGAAAACAAATTTAATATCTAGATGACTCAGATCAAAAGAATCATAAAATAAATTGAATGTTGAAGAAACGTCTGATGTTAATAGTGGTAGACATATACCATAACATTAAATATCCAATAATTACATTCTTTGGTAACTAAGAGAAAACTATTCAGAATTGTTGAATTATACGACTAGCAGCTAAGATCTATGTTTGTAGGTCTAATGCATGTGGCGTTACTGACGCTCAATTTATTGCCATAAATACGTCTTTCTATTGAACGGTGAATCATATATCTAGCTTAGATTTTTATGCAGAGGTACGAGGTCCTCCCAAAGCGCAGGATCCGGCACTATTGACAAAAGTATCTACTTGATACACTAAATCTACGGCGCAGCTTATATTATGTCATTAGCTCGCATACCAAACTAATAAAAAAATATCAAGTAATAAGCAATTTATCGAAATTGCTATGGATGGATCGCAATCGTAAGATTTTTGTCAAATATGTGATACTAGAGTTAACGGTAAATATTAGTTTAAAAATGATCCATACAGCGGAAAAATATTTTAAATAAATAAATACGGAGGTTGATAGCAAAGTTATTGAAAAAATTCAGAGTAGATTGTTGAGAATATTAATGTACAAGTATAGTAATCCTATGCATTACTTTGATCACGATTATTCTCTAGCGATGTCACGATTTAATATCCCTAGATTAGTTAATAGAAGGCTCTATTATGACAATATGTTTGTATTTAAGATTAGGAGAATCTTCATTGACTGTCCACAATTTGAGAATGTTTTTAGTGACAGAACAATATCGTATGGTCTGAGGAATATGAAGGAATTGCGCGAATCGGTTGATAGTAATCTTTTTCTCTGCAGTATATTGATTAAGGAGGAATCTATCGGATTGCGTGATATTTTATTCAACACTGAATAGTACATTCGTATAAGTAGATATATTAAGAATTATTTTCTTCAATTTCCTTCTATCGATTTTGTTATTCGGATGGAATGACTGGTTATTTGAAATATTGTATTTTATTTGAAATAAAATTATACTTTATTTTTGATATATATTTAAGTTGTATGTAGGAGAGCGTTCGTCTGCAGCCGTTGTAAAACGTTATGTATTTGAGAGCCTTGTGCTCGTTAAAAAAAAATATAAGATCTTTAATTATAACATGCGTGTGCGATAATCGTAATAGTCTGCCTATAACCAAAAGGGTTTAGCCATACATTCATGACGAAGTGGCATCCAGTAGGAACGTATGTATACAAGGTGTTCCATTTCGTTTCGTCCATAGTTCTGTTATACATTAATAAAAAAACTGTTTTTATAAATAATATGGTCCGGAATCATATGGTGAAAATATTTTCAGTCTTATAGGGTGTTCCATTTCTTCTGGGCGCTACCTAACTTGGTTTTTTTAAATGGAACACCCTATATATTTTTACATTTTTGGTTTGTTTAATTTTAGGTCGACTTTGTTAATAGTCTCTTATGCTTATCTCTACTAGTTTTTGAGATATTTAACTGTTTTTGAAAAAAAAAAAAATGATTTCAGCTTTTTCAATGAGGCCAAATTACATTTAAACCATAAAAACTAAAAACTTGTGATTTAGACAGTTCGTTTTAGCATGAATTACCATTTTTATTTTTTGCTATGGACAAAATCGAAACCTATTTTTGACAATCTTACAAGATGAATAACTTTTTTTTTCAAACGGAATGACCCATATTAAAAATGCGAAATTAAACTACTGGTACAAGGTTTTACATCTTTAGCTCTGACAGTTTTCCAGAAAAAATCGATTTTTCAGGGCAGAGCGGTGTTTTGTGTAAAAAATAAAGACAATACTGTTATTGTTCATTAATATAAAACAACTTCATTTCAATATAAGAACAAGGCTTTCACGGCCGGAATCCATAGTAGAATGAAGATTCGGGCTATAGGGCCGTGGTCTAAGTAAACTATTCTGTCCAGACGTTTCGTCAGCTACTGCTGACATCCTCAGTGGTAGTGCTGCGTTGACAACGTGAACGTAGATTATATCTCGAAGTCTCGACAGCGACTGGGCAGCACTACCACTGAGGATGTCAGCCGCAGTAGCTGACGAAACGTCTGGACAGAATAGTTCACTTAGATCACGGCCCTATAGCCCGAATCTTCATTCTACTAACTTAATTTCAATTTAATCATGTCAAAAAGATAGTCTCGTGTATTGATTGTTTTTGACCAATTAGACAATGATTCACCTGTGTAAGCAGTGCCAAATGATAATTTCTCGTAGTGGGCAAGGAGAAACAGTAAATATTACGAGTATGAACAATCATATCAAATACCGACATCCAACCCTGGTGCTTCAGTTAGGTTCTGTTCAATTGTTCGACCACAGACGATTCTTCCTGGCCGCAAATCCAATTAGAACTATCTACAACAGTGCCTTTTCCGTCAGGTTCAGTGTCGTCAGAGGTCACTTTATGTCAAAAAAAAACCAGCAAAATGTTGAAGTTAGTTTTGCTGTACAATGGTCACATGAAGACATGATCAAGAGACATCATTATTGCGATAGGTGAGATGATTCCACTTGATAATCAGCTGTTGTCAGTTGTTGAAAATACTGGCTTTAGAAATTTGATGAGAAAAGTTAAACCAAAATATAACATACTGGGCAGAAAGTATTTCACAGAAAATATCGTTCCTCAACTTCACGAATAGTCTACTAAAACTGAAATACCAAGAGGACTGCTGAGTGAAACTCCAATTTCAGTCACTATCGACATGTGGACAAATATAAATAATAAAGAGAGTTTTTTGAGTTTTACAGCTCACTGGCTTGATGATAGTTTCAAATATCATCACGCAGTATTGCAAATGAAACATTTCCCTGAAGCATATACTGCCAATAATATAAAAAACTGTTTAGAAGAAATTCCAACTTTGTGGGATATAGATCCTATCAAAATTGTGTGGCGTTGTGCGAGACAACGGCAGAAATGTGACGAAACCAATCGGCAATTCAGTTTTTTAAGAGAGTACCTTGTTTCATACATACTCTACAACTGGCAATCAATACTGCTTTGAAACATGATACTATGACACAAATACTTGTAAAATCGAGACGAATTGTCACACATTTTAACCAGTCTGATCAAACTCAATCAGAACTTCATGATTTGTAGCAAGAACTAAATTTATGAGATCACTAGCTTGTCCAATACGTATGTACCAGAAGTTGCTGTCGGTGTCTGAAGTAATACTTCACCTGAAAACCTATCAGAAATTGCAGCCAGATAGGGTAGAAACTTTAGTCTTTTTACATCATAATTTACTTTTAATATAAGTAGCTAAGTAGTAAAAAACTAGAAAGAGTTGAAATTTTTGTTGTCACAAATTTGATTCGATTAGGTTATGTACGGTTATAAATCATATAAGTATGTTCGAAAACTTTATCTCACGAGCTGTGTATACAACAACTTCAGAGGCAATGCAGAGAGTTAGATACTCCAAATATGCATATAAAAAGTGTATGCATGTATTTTTTTGTTTAGAGCACGCAAATATGGTTTGTGACAAATGTTGCGACTTTGTTTTCAATGTGGTTGACAATTACAATAGTGATTAGAAAGTTAGAACAATTTGTTTTAACTCTTTTTAAACGACTACTTCGTATTTACCAGTTATTCTATTTAAAAATGGGTTAGTTATATATTTTTTATTATCTTATTGTTCTTTTAAAAAAATCATCGTGTAAAAGTAGTGTATTTTATTTGAAAACATTTTTTTTTCATGACAGAAAGAAACATTATTTTTAATCTAAGAGATTAGTTGCGCGCTGTAATGTCCGAATGTAACTTGCGCCTGACGGAAGATTAAGTTACTAGTTTTAAATAAAATTAGTAATTTTGTTTTATAAATGTCTAAAATGTGTGACACTCATACTAATATAAAAATATTAATTAACAATCAAGGTTCTTATTTAATGTAAATTCTCCTATATTCATTTTATTGAGAAATACATACAAAGTAAGAAGCCGGATAGTCGGCGCTCTTTGCCGAATAGTCGCCGACTACGAAAGTGGACTAGTCGGGACATCACTATTTGGTCTTAAATATCTCTCTCCAAACAGCTGAAATCGTGTTTTTCTGACAGTTGAATATCTGAAAAACTACTATATAGATAGAGGGAAGTGCTGATAAAATAGACCTAAAATTAAACAAAGAATCCAAAAATGTACAGGGTATTCTATTTAAAATAACAAAGTTAGCTAGCGTGTAGAAGAACTGGAGCACCCTGTATGACTTAAAATATTTTCTGTATACGCAGTTTATGATTCCGGACTATTTTTACAAAAATAGTTTTTTATTAAATGTATAATAAAATAGAAAATAGTTATGGACGAAACTGCCTTAGGTGGAACACCCTGTATATAGGTAGTGATATAAAGTAGTTGAGGTAAAAGATTATTATCCCTTTATTTTGGTTAGTCGTGGAGATATTTAAAAAAAAAGTGCTATATCTAAGTAATTTCTAAAACTAGGAAATAAAATCAAAAGCAAGTGTCATGGTGCACTCTAGAGTTTCCGATAGATTAAGCCTAGATAAAAATATTAGAAGAATTCAAATAAAATTTTTATCGTTTAATTTCTATAAGTTCTAATTGAATGACCACTTTAAAGGAATATACAATATTTGTTTATATGTCACATAACAGCATGCCATTAAAATCCAAGTGGGGCAAAATGTCAAAAAAAAAAATAAAGTAAAAGTACGTGAACGACTTATACGATAAAAGGTATCTCGACTTTTTTCGTTTGGTTTTCGTTTTTCCAGATAAACATTTAGATTGTTGTTGGTTTAGGTTGCCCTTGATTTTCATGTTCGTAACGCGTTGTGGATAAGAATTTCGAGCAACTGATTTCAACTATTACTTTATATTTGCAAAGCTTGAACGAAGCAGTTATTCCACATGTTAACTTTAATAGGAGTAACTTATGAATACGGTATAAATAATGTCATTAGTTATTGTCCTGTCGCTTCGAGCTGAAATTTCCGAAATAGCGAGACGAAAATGCTTTGAGATCATTCCCGTAATACCGATATCAAGTACTTCTTTACCGATATACGGCAGACCCATAGGTTATGATCACTAACTAATAGTAATGATTCGACAGCTTATTCCTAGATTCGAAAAACCGTCACTTAGTATTAACCAGTGATTAATTATTGCATATATTTTAATCAAATGCATAAAATATAGTTACTGTGTGTTGTGAACAGTCCACTCAGGTCGGTTACGAACTCGTCAAAACTGGTGTAAGTCGGGTAAACAAATAAACCTTTTAAATCTGTTTATGTATTTAATCGAAAAAAACGATCGAATAAGGAAGATTTCTCGCACGTCTGCTCTAAACATGGAGAATGGGCCCACATGAATTGTTAACCAAATTGTCGACTGCTTTGAAATAATTGAGTACAAATAAAAAAATCATTGAATCTCGTAGTGAAACAAAAGAAAAACACATGTGGATTTAAGAAAGCAGGCCATAATAACAATAACAACAGTAAAACCAATAACAATAGGAAAAACGATAAAAACACAAATAACAAGAACCAACGGCATTCGGTTTATCGTACATCCAAAGGTGAAAACAATTCACACTTCTTCTTATTTGTGTAGACCTCTACAACCCCCTATAGTGGACTTCCCTCATCCTTGTAAGGGTAGGTGGAAGACTCATTTTACTATGGATCCTGTGGGTCTTTTATACTACAATTGGTTAACCTTTCCAATGTAGGAATCATGCTTCGCGAACTTCCCTCTATGCTTCTTCTACGCCTATGCATACGAAAGCAAACCAATGGATGCGAAATTACTTCTCTGTTCTTTCACCTAAAGTGTAAATACCTTCTCGTAGTATCGACTGAAATGATCTCTACGCTCTATAACCTGCCTACAGATAACTCGATCTCACTCGTGATAGGGTACAAACCAGATGACTGCCGACAGCTAGTTGAAGCTGCAAAATCGACGATATTTAGATTGTCTTTGTCTTACTCATTGGTAGAGAAATAATTGCTTTAAAATTATCAAATTCTATTTTGATTTTGTATTAACCTAAGCCAACATTTAAGAATCAAATTGTGTATTCAACAAACGAAAAAAAAGACTGTTTAACTGATAAAAAATAACTAGTAATAATGAATACATATATATAAATTGACCAGAAAAATAAATCGGCAAATGATTATAACCTTTACAGCATTCGGGTACGGGTGGTTACAGTGTGATTCATTGCATAGGTAGAAAGTAGATTTATTTCCGAATCATCATCTATGTACTATGTACAAATACAGGAGTTAGGTTGTATCTAAATACCCAACAATATGTTACATCAGTTTTGTGTCCCTATGTGTAAAAGTAGCTGTAGGTATAACAAATCTCGAATAGGTAAGTGTTTTTAGTTTTTCAGATAACGGTTAAAAATAAATTACACAGGTCTGGAACAGAGATGCTGTCTGGATGTTTTCAGCTGATTTCAATGTATTTAGATGTTCTAAAAACTAAAGAAATACTCAAAAAAATCCAAAATCTGTTCAAAGAAGTGTCACTTTTGCTGTCCGTTCTGGCCACTTCAGCATTTACGGAAAGAGTATATCTGTTATGACCGCAAAGTGGTGGGACAACAGGAATAAAGCTTCATTAAAACTAATTAAAAATGAACTTTTAGTTTACTTAGATCTTTGTTTTCAATGTTTAGAGGCTATTAATGTATTTAAGAGGGACACCAATTTGTTACTGGCTGCTAGGTGTAACAAAAAATATGTTTTTAAAAACAAAAAATAAAATACTTTATTTTTATGCCGAGTACTTTTTTTTTAACCTTTTAGTCGAGAAATACTTTATGTAAAGCCTTAAAAGGTGGCAACCCTAGCCGTAGCTATCAGTACTTTCTAAATATATAACGCTAGGTGTGAGCTTAATGAGCAAATATAGACATGTTGCAACCTGAACGTGTGCGCCCCGATGGTGTAGAAAGTGGCGCGGTACAATTACGTGTTAATTCGTCATTTTTTTTATAGATCTTGGTTCAATGTATTGCAATGTCGTCTGTGCGGAAGTGTGTGTGTGTTATATTTGTGGCGAATATATGGTATTAAAGCAACAACGTAATTTTACGAACTTCAGGATAAAGTTTGGGCACCTCATAAAGTCTGCAAACGATGTGTTGCAGATCATCGAAATTGCGATTCGTATGGTATGGTGCTAGCAAAAGAACCATAGTAATGATTTTTACTTTTGTTCGTGTAATGCGAAAGGGTATAATTCAAAACGCTAGCAGTCAATTTCATACCCTAATCTGCAATCAGTTATTCGTCCCTTCCCTCATGGGACTGAAATACCAGTGCCCAAGGTCCATGCTACCTTGATAGATATTCCAAGTTCTGACAAAGATGGTGCTATACCTGAACTCGATGATAAGTCAAGTTTTGAATTTTTGATGGATATATTTGAGATCTCATACGACCCAGCACAGTGGCATATTTTCATAGATTCTTCAAATGCTTTCATTCATGTCGGTCATTCCGTACACCCTCAAGGAAACCTACAAGAATTTGAAATTGGTTCTTTGCAAATTAAAATATAAAGACCAGGTTGGAATTCCGTTGCTTGCTTTTTGTGTCTATGGGATAGTAGAGACCGAGCAAATCGCTGGACCAAAAAGTGTTGACCTCCGAGGGAGTTTAACGTTGGCGAAAAGAACGTCCTGCATGAAACTGGTGCTTCCTCCTAAAGTTCTCCCCGCCATCGCTTCACATAAAGCTAGGATTGATGAAGCAATTTGTAAGGTCACTTCTAAGAGATTGAAATTGCTTCAAATACTTAATTTCAAGATTTCCAGGCCTCTCGGAGGTAAAGTTGAAGGAAGGTGTTTTCGTTAGACCAGATATTAAATGGCTTATGGCTTTCCACAATTCATCGCAATCATGATGGACCCTCAAAGAGAAGGGTGTATTGCCTTTAAAGAGGTCATAGAGAAATTTTTAGGCAATAAAGACCCTAACTATAAACAAATCGTCAAAAGAATGTTAAAAGAATTTCAAGCTTTAGGTTGTCTAATGAGTTTAAGAGTACATTTTCTTCATTCCCACCTCGACTACTTTCTAGAAAATTTAGGAGATGTGAGTGAAGAGCAAGGTGAACGATTTCACTAAGATATTAAGGAGATGGAAAAAAGATACCGGAGAAGATGGAGCGTCTCAATCATGGTAAACGCTTCAGAGAGACATTCCAGATGCTTCCTACAGACGAAAATGTACCCAAAAGAAGTTTCACTGGGAAAAAGCAATGTGTTTAGTGCTTACTAATGAACGTATTTTAAATAAAAAAAAATGTTTTGTTACACGCAATTATAAATTAAAATTTTTTTTAGTATTTTTTCTTTTAAGATGATAACTTGTTTAACATAGATACCTACATTGTCAGAAAATGTGACGTTCTATGACAAAATGAATCTATCTAAACCCAGTTTTGAAAACAAATATTCTCTATATTTTTGCATTAACTGGAATCTTAATTATTTGTTCGCATCTAGATTTTATTTGAATGTGACATAAAACTTTATCGTTATTTGGTTTATGTTATTTGGAAATAACAAATGTTTATTATAATAATCAATTTGTATGTTATTTCTTGAAAAAAATTCTGAATCCAAGATACTATCTACTTTTAAATTAGTTTTATCTAAAATGTGAAATTTAACAGGAAAATTACTGATAGTAGAATGAAGATTCGAGCTTTAGGGCCGTGGTCTAAGTGAACTATTGTATCCAGACGTTTCGTTAGGTACTACGGCTGACATCCTCAGTGGTAGTCCTGCGTTGACAACGTGAACGTAGATTATATCTCGACCCAGTCGCTGTCGAGACTTCGAGATATAATCTACGATTAACATTGATAAAACCGAAAATTGTAGGATGTGATCTGACCTATGTGTCCGAATTTTCAACATCAACAATCCTACAGCTATTGTTAGGGAAAATGCAATTTTGATGAACGTGGAACGGCTAACTCGGGATTTTCTACATCCGCACCAGCTTTGACTGATATTACTGAAATGCAACCCACACGTAACGAAAGCAGCGTTTCCCCGTGGTCACCGAAATGGTTTAGAAAGGACAAAAAATGACAAACAAAAGTTAAATTTTATTACGGGAAACCACAGAAAGGCATAGAATAACGGTCTATAAATAACGCGGTACACACGTACACTTTTAGTGCGCTTCCCGGAGTTCGACGTATACGGCTACGTTAGCGGACACACCTAGGAGGGGTTGGTAGGTCCAGGCCAATACTATGAACAACTCTTCCAAAACCTTCTGTGGTCGGGCTGGCTGGAGTGGAGGCGTTGGGGGTGTCGAATATGGCGTCTGACTTTCTTCGGAGCAGCGAAGGCGTCGGCCGGCACGTTTTCCTCGTTTCATTTAAAATTGCGTGGTGGCGATGCTGCTTGGTTCAGGCGTAATCGGTAGCGAAGGCTCGTTGATAACCGTGGTGGCGATGCTGTTTGGTATCTCCTGAATCAACTACGAAAGTTTCCGTTCTGAAGCCATTAGTTTTAACTGACGCATAATTCTTGTTTTTCCATCGGACTTTGTTAAGATGACTTATTATTAAAAGTGCTACAACTCCACTATCATTTAGTATTTCTTTTAATTGTTCTAACAATATACGCCAAAATAGTTCTTCCTTCTGTCGCTTTCATAAACATTATAGTAGCATAATTTACATATTCGAATAATAAAGTACTAAAAACTATATTGAATTTAATAAACTACTTTACTAACGCCGCAAACTACATTCTATTATTTCTTAGGTGCTGCTTACCTGGCATGGAATCCTGATTCTATCCATTTAATTGCATGTGGACCAGAGGAAAGTCCAGAAGTTTGGTTGTGGAATGTTGAAACAGAGAAGTGTCTTAAGGTGTCACATTCTCCTGATGATGTGTTAACATGTTGTGCATGGAATAAGGAAGGAAATAAATTTGTGGTAACGTAGGACACGCCTTGAAAATTTTTATTGTTTAAAAATATCTATAAGTAAATTTAACAAGTACGCGTTTTAGTTACATACTGTTACGTACAAGCACGTATGCGATAAAATCCAAATATTGATGGTAAATACGATGTAATCAATGTGAGCTACGTACAATTAATAGTAGTCAGCAACTTTTGTATTAAAGACGCCTAAAATGATAAATTATTCGTGAATTACAAATATGCCACATAAAAAATAAAGTTCTAGAACTTTCCAGAAAAATGAAGACTACTCCGGAGATTTCGATGGCAATATAAATAAGCCTCTGGGTGATAACTGGTCAGTAAAATAAATAACAAGTGAATACTGAGTAATATATGTAAATGTAGTGACCAAAAAGTAAGAATTGATAATTACAGTGTGTGATAAATAAGAAGTGACTAGTTAGTGTAATTGTGTAAATAAATAACCGTTAAAGAAATACTCGTTTAAATAAATTCGATCAAAGGAGGTGACTTACGAATGAGGCAGGAAATGAAGAAAAATTTAAAATCATCGGGTGAAAAATTAATTAATTAAATAAAAAATTATGAAATTTACGCCACGAATAGTTTCACGGTGAGAGATTGATCCGTTCCAGTATTTTGATTACGGGGATTTAGGGTTATGGGGTTTGAAGAATCCTAAGGTTATACATTTAGTGAAAAAATCGATTGGCTACAGATTTTAAATTTAAAATAGTTTGGGATTATCATGATTACCAGTTTTAGTAGATTTTGGATGTTATGCCCAATCCTGACATGTTGGAGTTAAATTGATCTCGGATTTTATTTCAGCGATCTTAAAAACTTACAATCAGAATTTGTTTTTGTGTGGCTGTGTTATTGTTCTGTACAAATAACTTATATAAATTCTTCATTTCGTGTTCCACCTTCCATTGCTTCAGAAAATCACCAAAAATGTTAATTACATTTAATTTTGTCTATGATTGAGGCAAAAAAAAAAGAACTTCAAAAAATACGTTTTTTCGTTCCATGTTCCACTAACTTTAAAAATCTGAAAAAATTCAAGGATATTTATAATGCCAAAGTACAAAATATTTATTTTTTTTAATTATTTAACGTTACAATGCTATTAGGATGCACAGATTTCAGTTCTTTTGGTTAACAGTAATTGCCACAAATATTTTTTCGATTTCGTTTTTATATTTATACTAAAACTAGATTAAATTTTGTGTAATCACTATCATTATTTGAAGTAGGTAAAACCGATGAGGCTTATGATATAACTAAAAGGAATTTTAGAGATGTAGGGTACAGTTGTAATAATATATGAAACAAGGCAGGGGTCGTTTTGACAGAAAATGAGGAAAAGGCAGATACATGGGAAGATTATTTAGAGAACCTATACGCAGGCCATGATTTAAGAGATATATTAATGAAGGAAGATTGCGTGGAGATAGATGAGCTAGGTTATCCCATAATGAGAGGAGGTCGATGTAGAATTAAAAAACTTAAACAATAATGAGGCGCTAGGTGTAGATGGGATACAGGGGGAAATTCTAAAACATGCAGGGTAAGAGGTTATAGATCGTATGTTTAAGGCGAGTTATTCACATTTACGAGACGGGGAAAGTCTCAGAGCATTATAAACGTGACGTGGTAGAAACCATACCTAAAAGGAGAGACGCGGATAGATGCGAGACATTTAGAATAATCATGCGTTAAAAATCTTAACTAGAATTGTAGAGAGGAAAATGGAAAAAAGGGTGGAAGAACTATTAGGGGAAGATCAATTTGGGTTTAGAAACAATAGAGGAACGCGGGAGGCCATTCTAGCTTTACGGGTAACAATAGAGAAAACGATAGAAAAAAAAAGAATGCGTATATAGGATTTGTAGATTTAGAAAAAGTCTTTGACCATGTTAGTTGGGACAAGACGTTAAATATATTTAAAAAAATAGGGATGAGTTAGAAAGATAGAAGTGATACTTAGTTTGTATAAAAAGCAACAGGCAGTTATAGAGTTGGGGCTGCAACGTAGAGAAGTAAATATTAGGAAGGGAGTTAGACAAGGATGCACATTGTCACCGCTACTTATTAATCTACACATAGAAGACGCGGTCAACATCATTAAAGACAGTATAACTATAGGAATAGGTATACAGGGGCCAAAGATTAGTACGCTTAGATTTGCAGATACAGCAGTATTAGCATCTAGCAAGGAGGAGTTAGATATAGTTTTATTGTGTTAAACTTAGCGAAACGTTAATAATAATATCGACAGACGAATGCTTGGCTGCTTAGTGGATCAAACTTGGCGAAATGTTATTACACCTAGCCTCAATTTGAAGATTGACCAAACTTTGGATCAGTATTTTCAAACCCTTACATAGCGGCCCAATATTGGGCCAAACTTGGCGAAACATTAATAAATCTAGCCTTGATACTTATAAATTGACCGAACTTTGACCAGTATCTACAAGCCAATGCTTGGCTTCTCGGTAGTAAACCAAACTGAGCGAAACGGTAATGTACCTAATCTTGGCACTTAAAGGTTGGCCGAACTTTGGACCAGTATTAATGAATCAATGATATGCTTGGCTGCCCCAGTATTGGACCAAATTTGGTGAAACGCTAATGTGCCTGGCCTTAGCATTTAAAGATGGGTCAAACTTTTGACCAATATTGACAAGGCAATGCTTGTTTTCCCACTACTGCTCCAGGTTTGAGCCTGTCGTCAAGACTAGCATTTTCCTGTATAGGTAGGCCACGGAATAGAACATTTAAAGTAGTAATTTTTGTGATAATAAATGACAGGAAACAAATTATGCAGGATGGTAGGAAACGATCCAGGGAACAAAAGGTAGTAAATTATAACACTCAATTATTTGTCAAAACAAAATGGCGACAAAAAAACTGCAGAAAATGCAAAAAATTTCGTTTTCCGATCCACGTCGAAAATTGTGGGTTAAGATTACAATACGAAAGTTGTAGAAAATTAAAGTATCTTCAAAATAGATCGTAAACGAATTTAATTTGAGCTTTTTGGTCAAGAAAAATGCAAAAAACTGAAAAAAAACATTTTTTTTTCTAAAAATTCAACTTTTTCAATTTTGAAGTTTTAGCTTCTATTTTTGTAGAGATAAGAGCTATAAATGTATTTATTATGCGACTGCAAAATGGATTTCGATGAACTTATAGTATTCGAGTAATAGCTAACTGAAATTGAATTGAAATTTTAAGGACTTATTTTCAAAGGCTCACCCTTGCTCTAAATCAAGTCCAATCGTAATTCGCAACTGAGGAAAGGAAACTTAAATGATTATCTACAAATTTAAATTTTTCGTTATAATGACATTAAAAAGGTTTAAATAGCGTGTGAAAGTTGACCGTTTCGTCCGCATAGAAGTTGATGCGGTGAGGGAACTACGTCACCGGCGGGGATAGCTAGGCTTTTGCGCCGAGCGTGCTGCGAGTATAGTTTGTGGTTTACTTAAATAGGCTATACTTTTTCGTGACATTTTATTAATATAAATATTATAATTATTCTCTGCATAGATAATATTATTATTTATTAAGATATTTATTGTGATCTATGGTAAAAGCTATATAAAAATAAGATTCATTGTTGCATAATTTTATTTTATTACACACTAGCTGACCCGGCAGACATCGTACTGCCTCAATCGATAAATAAAAGACCTTACTTTTGTATAAAATAAACTTAAAACAAACAAAAGGAATCCATAGTTGATTGTCAAATGTCAAATATTATGGTTTTGGTCAGAAATTTAATTTGTGACAAAAATTAAAATTTATCAATCTACATAAACATAATCTGAAAGATAGTTAACAACTTTCATACCTATTCACCTTTTAAACCTTCTCTGGACTTCCACAAATAATTCAAGACCAAAATTAGCCAAATCGGTCCATCCGTTTTAGTTTTAGCGAGACTAACGAACAGCAATTCATGTTTATATATAAAGATAAATTACCCCTAAATTATTATACGCGGCAGGCCTAGTCTTCCTCGCTGGTGGCGCAGTTGCTCTTTTAGTCGGCTGCAGTGCAATTTCGGACGAAACACTCAACTTTTAAACGCCATTTAATCCCTTTTAATGTCATTATAACCGAAAATTGATATACAATTTGTAGATAATCATTTATAGTTTTTATATCTCCGATGCGAATTCCGATTGGACTTGATTTAGAGCAAGGGTGAGCCTTTGAAAATAAATCCTGAAAATTTCAATTTAATTTCAATTAGCTATTACTCGAAAACTATAAGTCCATCAGAAGCCACTTTGTAGCCACGTAATAAATGAATGTATAGCTATTTTCTCTACTAAAATTGGAGGTAAAACTACAAAATTAAAAGAGTTGTGAATTTTTGAAAATAGAAAAAAACGTTATTTTTCGGTGTCTGGAGTTTTCTTAAACAAACAGCCCGAAATCACGTTCGTTTACGGCCCATATTGGAGATATTTTAATTTTCTATAACTTCTGTACTGTAATAAATCCATAGTTTTCGAAGTAGATCAAAGAAACGAAATATTTTGCATTTTCTACGGTTTTTTAGACGCCATTTTGTTTTGACAAATAATTGTTATGATTCAGTACATTTTGTTCTGTGGATCATTACCTGCAACGCAGCAAAGTTCGTTTCCTGTTCTTGAGTATCGCAAAAATGATGACTTTAAATGCTTATTCCCTAGCCTATATAATTTATTATATTAAAATAAAACACCATTATGTTTCAACAATAATATAATTAAAAAACAACTCGTCTGTATCGACCTACCAGGTCATTTTCAGGAGTACAGAAAAGTTGTTACTTTTTGTCGAAACAATTGTCGAGTTTTTCAGTTATATTAGTGTTGAAACATTCGTGTGTTTTATTTTAATATGCAACTTGCTGCTTCGTAAATACGCCTACGGTAGTCTTAATATAATTTATTATCTTTCCTGTCTTTAGAAACCCATACTTACTCTTGGACCTACAAAAATCAATGAATCGATTTTCACGTACATGCTTATACGTAACAATACGTATTTTAACAAATATGCACCAAGAATAAGGCAATATTCGATAATTTACGTTCATCATCGAATATTTTCCATTTATAGTAAATGTAAATTATGTTCACTATCTTATGAAATTTATTCCCGAAATTAACAGTTGTTTTTAATTTTCTTGTTACGAGCATTTCGTTCTCATATCAGGTACACAAAAAGTCTGTTTTGAATTGTCAATATTTTATTGTTTTGTATACATATTCAAAATAGTCTATTTAAATTAAATTTGTTATGTTTTATTGCTACTGTTTTGTAAATTAACTTTTATTTTAAGGTAGGGGGCATAAGAGGTCATTTTTATCAATGTGATATGGAAGGATCAATATTGGATACTTGGGAAGGAGTTCGAGTTAATTGTTTAGCATATCGAGCGGACGGAAAGAATGTTCTTGCTTCCGACACTCATCATAGAATTCGTAGTTATAATTTTGAAGAATTATCCGACCATAACGTGTAAGTCGTTAAAATTTCAATAAAAAGGCAGTATCTTTTTAATAATAGTTGCAGGCTTCAAGAAGAGCATCCTATTATGGCATTTTCTGTAGATAAGAATGATAGATTAGCTCTGATTAATGTAGCAACTCAAGGTGTTCATTTATGGGATTTACAGGACCATTGCTTAGTAAGACGGTTTCAGGGCGTAACTCAGGGACATTTCACAATTCATTCTACTTTCGGGGGCCATAATCAAGATTTTGTTGCCAGTGGAAGTGAAGATAATCAAGTATGTTGTCTTTTATTATTTTGATAATTACTTTTACATTAGATTTAATTCATTCGCTTTACAATTTCAAGATTAGATTAGTTTAAATAGAAAAAATCTTGAAAATTTAATAGCGTTTTTAGGATTTTTTTTTTGTATGTTGTAGATAATTTTAACTTAAAGTTTGGAACGCCAAATTAGTAAAAATGTTTTATACATATAAGCTTATCGGGAATTTTGTTGATAAAGTACGACTCTGTGCAATTTAAATCCATACATACATTTTATTATCGTAATGCACGGTTGTGTTTCTAAAAGTGCAGGGGATGAATTTGTGAACATTGATTTTCCATTCTTTTACCGCATATTTTAGATATTTTTTATGCGTTGTGATTAGGGTTGACACCCATACTTAATTATAAAGTATTGTACTCTATTTCGACTGTGCGTATGTTATACTTTAAAGTACGCAAAAATACTTTATTTAAGGCCTTAAGTAAACATCGTAATTTTGTAAGCGATTTTGTAAGCGATTATTCGAAATTCAGAGTACTTTTACATCAATAATATTGCACAGAAAAATGGCAAGCGATATTTACGGAACAACCTGATTTCCCAAATCTGTTCAAAGTAGTGTCACTTTTGCTGTCCGTTCCGGCCACTTCAGCATTTACAGAAAAAGTATTCTCTATTATGAACGCAAAGTGGCGGGACGACAGGAATAAACCTTCATTAAAACTAATTAAAAATAAACTTAGTTTACTTAAATCTTTGTTTGCCATGTTTAGAGGCTATTAATGTATTTAAGAGCGACAGCAATTTGTTACTGGCTGGTAGGTGTAAAAAAAATATGTTTTAAAAAACAAAAAATTAAATACTTTATTTTTATGTTGAGTACTTTTTTTTTTAACCTTTTAGTCGAGAAATACTTTATGTAAAGCCTGAAAAGGTGGCAACCCTAGTTGTGATTAACTCAGTAATTTAATGCAATTTGCAGTTTAAAAAATACTAAATGTTCGGTTAAAATACATTGCGCCTAATGTTTTTCAAAATAACGATATGAAATGTACAATTTGTACGCAAACTTATGGTACGCATTTTAACAAATATGCACTTTAAAAAAAAAATAAAAATGTTTGACAATTTACGTTCACTATCGAACAAAATTTTGCTTTTAAAAAATGTAAAATAATGTATGTACGAGTTCCAATTGAAACAATTTTATGTTAGTTATTTTAATGTATCACGAGTTGAGGTTACTTTATTCGCATAGGCGTGAAATGTATATTATATGACGTGAAAGTAAATCGGTTCAATGTCGACAACACTTGAAATTAGTATTATTAATTTAGGAAGAGTTTGAATACCGAGTATTATTTCTTAAGTTAACTGGGTACTAGAATTTGTTTTTTTTTTTTAGTTTCTGTGAATAAGTATTGCTCTAGTTTTTGTTTTGTTGGTTTTAAGTTTTAGTTCTTTACCTAAATAAATTCTACGCATTCTGTTCAAGGCGGAATATTTAGCTACATGATACAGTTTAACTCCAAATGTCAAAATTTGAGACAGTGAACTCCATAAAACCAAGCTGCTGCTTGTGTGCATATACAGAGTGACAAAAGTCCGCACTATGCTCATTGTGACCAATTTATAAATTTAACCGAATTTTCAAACAAAATTTGTTCCTTATTTTAATATGTGATCGCCTGCAACAGCTAAATTTAATTTACTTTGTATGATATTCAAAAATAGAAAAAAGAAGAGTTCTTTTGAAAAGCAACATTATTAATATTGGTCTAATCAAAAAATGCTGTTCAGAGTGCTAAAATATGGAGCATGCAAAAAAATGGCACGATATTCAAATGCCTTTTCCTTTATTTTAAATGACTCATAGTGGTCAAAGACATAGGAGTATAGTACAAGACGCACAGAAAAAAAAGAGTAAAAAGTAAATAAGTAGTACTTAGACACTGAAAAATGGATATTAAATAGTAAAGGTGAAAAGTATAAATATAAAAAAGAATAATGCCGAGGTGCTCGAATCATATCGCAAATGTAAAATTTAAAAATGTATTAGAATTATATTTAATGTTTCTGTAATGGTTCCACGCTACAATGTTATGTTACCAAGGAACAAGGAAAGTGGGCGACAAGCACATTTGTATAACCTGGGGTAATTTAGGGTTGTAGCCAGATATCTCACCGAAACAAAAAATACAATAGGTCATTGTTACATAGTCCGCAACTGGTAGGACCATGTTCCAACGTTAGGTGTAAAATACGCAACTCTTGGAAGTTCGTCTTGACCAGGGAGGATAGAAGTCGTGCGAGACCTAACTTCGATAGGACATGTTAAAGTACCTATTGTCTGAACTGTCATTTTCACAGGTCACGGGTGTAGAGTAGTAGTTTGTATGTTTGTTTTTTTTCTCGGTCATCGTCCGGTTTATTGTATATGGATCGTTTTTTTTTGTGGAACATCATAAGGTGAACGAGACCTGCCAGTGGGGGTCAGTGCCTGTAATTTTTATATAAGTTCAGAATAACGAAGGCACGGCAACTCACAGAGACTCCCCTCCTCTCTAACCAAGCGTTCTTCAACAGAGAACTTCGTCTTGATAAACAGTAAATGACTAGTAACACAAACACACCAGTTACACAGGCAAAACCTTAGGATGGGCAAACCAGCTGTTAGCCTAAAGCCCAGATCAAATACCGTACCAAGCACTGAAAGAACTGCCGGTAGTTATAGGAAAAACCTAAAGCTAGTGACGACATATAAAATAAATACAAACTTAATTGAAAAACTAGTAGCTAGCATGGTGGTTAGGATTACGCAATGGTAACTGTGTAAGCTTCTCAGGGATAATAATTAAGTAGTCATTTTGGATAAAAAGGACAGTATTGAGTGGCGAACTGGTTTGTTTTACACACCTATACTCTGTTGGTTGTTGACTTCAGGAGCGGTCGGTTGGTGCGACATGGTACCGTTGTCGTATCGTCAACGTCAGACCAGCGGACGGTGAGCGTGGAAAAGCAACAGTAGCGTGCTGTGGGGGTGGACGGTGGTGGCAATGGATGACCAAATCGGGGCCAGCGAATTGAGATGGCTCAGTCTTCGGTGGAACAATCTATTGAATTGAACTCGACTCATTACGGGAAATTCGACATGATACGGACGGAACGATGTTCAAGAGCAACCTGGTGGGGGAGTCCCTCGTTTTGGTGGTAGCGGGGTGGGTGCATTAACAGGAAGGCCTCGACTTTGGATCTACGGGTTGTCAAACCAACGGCACCAGGCAGGGACAAGAACAAACCAAGGGAGGTGGACTGTACACTTCAGCCTTATGTCGGTTATAACGAGTACAAACGTAGGAGATCTCTCAGAGAGTCAATTTCTCGGCTGATTAATGCTACAGCCAATCAAGCATAACGGAGAAACTATATTAGGTTGTAATACAGAGCTAGCCAAATTCTCGACTGATGAATGCCATAGCCAATCAGACATATACGGAGAAGCTATCTCAGACTGTAATACAGAGCCAGTCAATTGCTCGACTTATCAATGCTGGTCTTTCTCTTCCTTGCCGGGGTAGGTGGGTATGTCAGTCTCCTTTTACTGTGAATCCTGTGGAATTTTTATACTGAAAATGGTTGTCCTTTCCATTATGCGAATCGCGCTTCCCGACTTTCCCTTACGGTTTTACTACACGCCTATGTGTATCAAACCGATTCTTCTACTTAAGTTGCAAACAATCTATTCTTTCCGTAATTTCGACTGCGAAGTTCCGCACTATCGGCGGCATGTCCTTTTTCGTCCTTTTCGTTATCTGCTAAAAGGAAACCAAAAATGACTAGAACGAATATATATATATATATATACATANCATATATATTGACTAAAAAAAATAAATAACCCATTGATCAATTCTTCACCCGGGTATGGGTGGTTACATAACGAATAACTAATAACTAACACCAAAGCGAGACCGGACGTGTGATTCCGACTACTGACCCTGAATTTAGTATAATCAATACTTATTACATTATTACTCATATCATCTGCACCCTGATGTTTTAGAAATCGGGCTCACCAGGGCTGGCATCAAAACTACCATAATTTTTTATTTATTTATTTGTTTCTAAGGTCAAAATTGCTATAACATTATGTTTTAAATGTCATTATGGATCTATTTAGAAAATATTATTGATTATAAACGTCATTCCCTGTATATCGCCATGTTTTTTCATAGCACCATATGCTGACATTCTAAACAACTTTATTCCATAACTTTTTTCTATTTTTGACAGTTACACACGATTTTGTATTAAAATAAGGAATGAGTTGGTGAAACTTTTATTTTGACCACAATGAGTATATCATATTATGAACTTTTTAGGCCATTTAAAACAAAGAAAAAAAAAATGTTAATATCGCCGCAATTTATAGCCTGTTCCAGATTTTGTTTCGTATTTTGAAGAACTTTTATCTACCGTGTTATTTTTGAACACTGTGTATCAAATAAAATTTAGCTGTTGTGTACGATCTTATATTAAAATAAGGAACAAGTTTTATTTGAAAAATGTTTTGATGCAAGTATATTCTTATTCCTGTACATTACAAGATATTTTGCAACTTAGTGAAAATTGCCATCAAAGTTTCTTTGAAGGCCATAAATTGATGATTAGGGATCTTTACTTATGTGCATTAATTTTAAATACTAATATAAATTCATGAATCTTAATTTCATTTAAGGTATACATATGGCATGTAAGAAATGAACTTCCAATAGCTACACTATCTGGACATACACGAACCGTTAATTGTGTTGCCTGGAATCCTGTGTATCACAATATTATGGTATCAGTTTCTGATGACTGTACTATAAGAGTTTGGGGTCCTAAGGATAAATTGCCTAAACCGTCAGGTAAGTAACAGTCTTCGGAATAATCGCACAAGTGGTTTAGTTTGACGTTTGTTAGATAAAATATCTGCGTTGAGTGAAAGTATAAGGTGTCAATAAAATAAATGTGTATTGCTGTGTAAAGAAATTAACTGTTTTTAAAATTGCATTAACTATATTAAACAGTATTTTGTGGAACTTTCTAAACAATATTGTAAAAAATTCATCCTGGGTTCCTTTTATTTCAATCGACTTATTTATTTGTTGAAATTCCTGGTATAATTCTTCATATTTTGTTATTATTTCGGTAAACATTTATTTCTATCTTTTACAGTGTCTTCGTCTAACAGTACCAACTCAAGCAATAGTAACTCATGGAATGAAATGGTTTCATAGCAGAATAGCACATCAATGGAAGACTGACTTGCAATACAATCCTGAGGTTGCGTTATTTGGCCGGTTCAATTTTTTATAAAACTATCTTACTGGTAGTTGCTGTTGCCATTGAAGGGAATTTATTGATGACATAATTACATTTCGTAGTTTTATTTTATATAACAAGAAAATATTTAAGGAAAACTATTAACGTTTTATAAATTAAAAAATAACACTTGACATAAAAATTTACACATGAAAAGGCTTCACACTATACAACGTATGTTAACTTTAAATAAATTGAAATAGTATTAGTGACAGCAAATCATTAAAAATAAAGAATATTTTATATTGTAATAGGAACCATATGTGACCTGTTTGTGGAAGAAAGTTGAGTTTGTATTGCCAAATTTTACATAGAAATAATTTTCAGGTTTAATTTGGATATGTATTATAAATGAATGTGTTTCTGAAGTATGCTATATGAAATTAATGAAGTATATTTTTTTTTCATCTTTCATTTAACAAAGGAAACTTAAATTTCAGTCTGTTGGAATATGGCGTGTGATTAATTTATAGTGCATTTTAATAAAGTATATTATTAACGATTTGTTATTATTTTTATGTCCTTGATGTCACGCCTTACACTTGACTACTACAGTAAAATTTACTACCACTGTATGTCTACCAGTGTTTAATTTCGGGGAAACACATAGGTACATACAGTTTGTGGGATAAAGTTTCATTTATTTGTATAAGGCGGAACAAGTAGGTGTTATTTATAAGCACACAAGTCCAATTTGTGGCGTTTGGAAGGTGGCAACTTCTTGAATATATAGGTATCGTTTTGTAAAGTAATTTCATATGTACGTTATTAGTTGGTTGTTAAATACGGTGTTCGTGATTTATTAGTTATTCGGTGATATAGACAAAGGTCAGCTCTACTCTGGTAGGTTCATGATATTACAACGCCGCAGTCGATTAACTGTTAATTAGCGATATCAGTGTTGTATTTCATTTGTATTTTGGACTAATGCAGTGTTTGTTATTTGTTAGATTAGATTAAGTGTAATTGACGATGTTTATATTACAACCTAGAGTAAATCTTTGTTCTTTTAATATTGTAGGCTTGTATGTATGTGTGTAGTTAGGCGAAGTCATTCGCAGTGTGTCAGTGTCATAGATCAGTGTGGAATAGTATGCGTGAGTTTTTGGACGAACCGTTTCCTGGAAGGTGGATTGGATGTATGGGTCCTATCACAGCCGTCTCTACTTACAAGCCATGCTGAAGGTTTACTTGGTAACACTGTGGGAGTCCCAGGATTTCCCAGTTAATGAGAGTTACAACTAATACATTAGTTGTGTTTTTTCGTTGTTCTATAATATTTTAATTTTAGCGGAAATATCGTGCAGTAAATGTGCAATAAGGATGATTATAGTGTGTTATAGTGATTAATACCTTTGGATACAGTTTTTAATTGCAGAAGGCAATATTAACTATTATGTGAAAGAAGTGAAAATGTTTTAGGTCAGATTGTGTGTTTTGGTTGTAAATTTTCTGGTTTATTTCTTAACAAAATGCCTCTCGTCGTTGTGTTCCCAGTTGCAATTCAAATTATAAATCATCTTTAAAATGTAAGTACAAGTATGTCTATATTTTTATTCCCAAAAAAATGATGAAATGCAAAAAAAATGCATAAGTACTATACCTCGCAAAGATTGGACTCCATGAAAATATTCTGGAGTTTACATACATCGCTTTAACGAAAGTGACATTATAAAAACAGTAAAAAAAAGTATCCACTGCCGGTAATGTTTTGAGTGTGCTTTTAACATATCCTAAATTACCAGAGAAAAATGAAACAGGAATTTAAATTGTTGAAGAGTCTCCCTTAAACATAAGTCAGTTTATTGAAATTTTAAATTCCGATTTTTTAATGAATTGTGATTTAGATGACTCCTTAAAAATTTCCATTTCAGGATATGCAGTTCATTCTGCTCGTAAAAAGATAACTTGCAACAATTGTGTTTCGCTCATAATAAACAATAAAGGCTCTTGCGTTGGAGATATTTATTTTGATTATTTACAAAGGGGAGGACTTTCTGTTCCTACTGATAATATTAGTATAGTTTTTTTCACATTTATGCCATTCTTGAAGAAATAAGTAATAACGAAAATCTGCAGACACAATGTTTACGGGCTGAACACCAAAAACCAATTTTAGGAAAATTAACTATTTTCAAAAATATTTAGTTTTGGAAAACATTATAAAGATATATTCTTCCAAATTTTATCTTCTTTTGCTAATGTTTTGCTTAATGATTACGTTAAAATTATAAATTATAGAAAGCAAGAGTCCCGCCACTCCAATTCAAATTCAGCTAACTGTAAGACAGCAAAAATCCGTAAATTAGAAATTGTAATTAGTTTTTTCTAATGGGATGGCAGGGCTATTGGTGAACCCCAAAAAAAGCTAACGCGCCTTGGCAATACTTCAATTGTGGTGTGGAAATTTGCTTTAATAAAATTACAATTATCGAGATGAAATTCATGTAGGTACCTAACAATGTTTACATCTAATCTTTTGTCTTTTCTATTTTATTCTTAATACCTACATGTTGAAGTGTATTTTAAATAATGTCACATACTATCAGTGATGTTATTTAGTAATTAATTTTTATCTTAATGGGTGTCTAAAAATCATGTGTAACTACGTGTAGTAATAACTAAGACTCGCAGAATAGGACTCTCACATCGAAGCAATGCGCTGTTGCCAAATTTCTCAGCATGGCTTGTATTAGAGATGGCTGTGGTCCTATGCATTAGCTGACGTGTAGTCCTGATTTAAATCCGTGTGACTTCTGTGTAATGGGCAAATCGTTTTAATAAAAAAAAAGTAATGCTGCATTTATATTAAAAGTTTAACAAATAAACAATACGTGAGCAAAAAAATACAAAACAAATACTACACTAATACTGGTAATCATCAGCTGATTGAGTGTAGCGTTACGAGCTGTATTTATGAATCAAAGCCGGCAAAACCTGTACTTTAACTACGTGTTTCTCGAAAACGGGGGACGATCGGACATACAATTTTTCACTTAATGTTTTATATTTCTGTGACACCCTATATAGTATGAATCCATGTTAGATTGAAATTGAAGGATATCATTTTCTGACTTGATGGTTTTATAAATTTAAAATCATTAGCAAATAATAAAATATTACCAAATCCGTGTTAAATTACTCATCTGCAGTATTTTGGTCTTGTCACCGAAATTAATACTAGGAAGTTATCGATCGAAATAAAATTAGTAGAGAACGTGAATGCCATAGAACATAGTAACGCTCGTTGAACATTACGCTGATTGCACATTACACGTTTTCGCCCGCACGATCAAATGTCGTACGAGTTTGTATCGTGGTGTAGTTGCTTTCCCACTGTACGATTTTAAACGTAGGTATCACACGATTTGTAACCGTACAAAAACATTATTCAGATACATATGCTCGTTGTCACCATTTCTGAGGAAAGTATTATACAGTGACTATGAATCGAGGGCAAATTATAGCTTGGTTATTGTTTCGGCCTCGAAAAAGACAAGGGCGTGAGCGCCTTCATTGGGTGCATCCTGTTAATCAGAAAGGTGAAGAAGTGGGGTTATTCTACACCTTCTTTGAAGACCTGAGAAATGATGAACGAAAGTTTTTCAACTACATTCGTATGTCAGTTGGCTCCTTTGACGAACTGCACGGCAAACTGCATAATGTCAGAACGGCAAAATACATAATTTAGAAATTGTATACAACCTATTGAAATGCTAGCTATAACTTTAAAGTAATAAATGTCTTTAACACCCACTGTTTTTACTTTCTTTGTAGAGGGGGATTTATAATCTTAAAAAGAATCATTCTCCGAGATTATTGCTTTTGTATGGACTAGATGACGAACAGTTCGTTATGTCTATGGTATTATTGGACATGTTCTACCATCTATGATTGTAAGAAATTTACGTTCCGTTTACGTTTTGTATGTTCTTTGTGTTTTTACGTTTTATAATTAAAATTTTTTAACTGTTACGGTTTATTAGTCTGTGTGAAACCTAAAATAAAAAACCCAACAGGTTATGGGCCCAGATTCTCAGACATAATCCGGGCAGTAAAAGCTATACGTTAAAAAGTAATAAAATAAAAGTGGTGTTAAAAAAGAAATAAAATGGCATTCAACTCAGAGGACATGAATAAGATCGAGAGGCTGGCAGATGAAACGTCTTATCAAATATGGAAACTGCAGATTACTGTTATGTTTAAGGCATACGACTTATATGATATTGTAAATGGTAACCACAAAGTAACACAAAATGATTCAGTTGATACCATAGCAAAATGGACGAAATATGATGCGAAAGCTCAAAACCTGATTTTAATGTTGTTGAAAAAAAAAAATATATTTTGCATATCATGAATTGCAAACGAAATGTTTAATAAAATAAAAGGGATTTTTGAGAAATCTTCATGAGATCAAATATGTAGTTTGTTACAAGAATTTTACAGTTATAGTTATATGAAAGGAATCGATCTAAGTTCACACATAAGCAAAATCGAGAACATTGCACATAGACTAAACAGCCTAAATCAAAATATTGATGAAAACATGATAATATCTAAAATACTATCGTCCTTACCACCAAATTATAGTTTTTTTAGAACCGCTTGGGAGTCTACAGCAGAAAATGAGCATCAGCATATCTATTAAGTAGAAGTCCATCGGATACCATTGATATGACACCTATAGAAAATGGACCGGTAGGACACCAGATTTGTCTAATTTACAAATTTTTGGTTGTGATGCATTTGCAAAAAAATTGGGATACTTAAAGAAGCTAGATTCAAGAAGCAATAAACATATTTTTGTTGGATATGCGCCCTGTGGTTATCGCCTATGGGACTCCAAGAACAGAAGAATAGTTATATCAAGGGATGTAATATTTTGCAGTCAAAGTTTAGAAAATGTTAAAGAAAGAAATAGTACTAAAGTAAGAAATATAAAAGAAAATGACATGAGTGACACTGAAAATGGAATAATAGAAAACATGGAAGAACATGATAATAACCAAGAAAACAGAACAGAAGAAGAAGAAGATGATCAAATAAAAAATTTAAGGGAATATGAAAACAGCTCATTGGGAGAAGGATCGGAAGAAGAATTTAGAACATTACAAGAAAGAATACCAAACTGTGAGACCAGAAGTGGGAGAAAAACAAGAATTCCTAACAGATTTGATGATTACGTCATGTTAACATATCAAGAAGCCATAACTAATTCAGAAAAGGAAAATTGGATAAAAGCAATATATGAAGAAAAGAGATCACTGATAAAAAATGATATGTGGAAGTATGTAGATAAAGAAAAGGCAAAAAATCAAAAGGTATTAAGTAGCAGATGGGTATTTAGAATAAAGGAAAATGGGATTTTTAAAGCAAGATTGGTTATAAGAGGTTGTGAACAGCAATATGGGATAAACTATCAGGAAACATTTAGTCCAGTAATTAGTATTACTTCGTTACAAATACTTTTTGCGCTGACAGCTTCGAATCATTACGTTT